CAGTAGAGTGCTCGCCTATCAGGACTGGCTATCAAGAGTATTACAATAATTTATATCAGTATATTTTAAGAATTTCTGTAATAAAGCAAAAAATTGAAACCAGGTACTGAAGATATTTTCTCCATCCTCATATGACAAGTAAAATTTTAATTCCCTGGCCTGTGCTGAGAAAATGATACTCCCAATGAGTTTACAAATAAGGGATCAAATAAGTATAGATATGATCTTCAGCCTTCTGAGATTGTATGTAGAACAGCAGGGCTGAAGCCCTGAGATGAATAGACTGCCCCCTTTTTGTCTGTGATGTGACTGGCTCACACCCTCTGGTCTCTAACTATTCACCCTCTGGGAATCCTCTGAAATCCTTCCTTCTGCAGCCTGGAGTGCCCCCCGGTGGACTGATTGCATCAAAATATTCACTTAAGACTAACCAAGTCCTCAGCAGTCGCTACAAGTTTCTTGGAGCAGGAAATGCAGATGGTCAGAAAACAAAATGTCTAGAGTCTGTAGGAATAAAAATTAGCCACATTCACAGGTGAGGAAGTAGCTCAGTAGTGGAACGAATGGCACAAGTGTCTGGGTTCAAACCCCAGCCAATAAAAATTAAAAAAAAAAAAAAACATTTTAAAATAAGTTAGCAGTTATCCTGCACTACTTATTAGATTTCTTGAATTTAGCTGAAAATAAATCCATAAACAGTCATTCGCGATTTACTTGGAGTAAATAAAAAGAATATTTAAAAGGAGAGAAGACACTAGTTTATAGTCTATTGGAAAAGAGAAAATACACATATCTGTAATATAATCAATATAATCAAAATGTAATACACCCAGAGGAGTGTACATTGAAACCATGACCCCAGAGGCAGGAGAGGACTTGTGCATGGGACCATCAGAAAAAAACCTTTTGAAGAAATTGGACATTTTCTTCTCTCTCCTCTGCCTTGTTATCAGAAGGATAAATGAGAATATGGATAAATCTTTATCATAGTTTTGATTACTCTTATTGGATTTAACATAATGAAAAATTTATAAATATAGGAATCATTTAAATCATAAAACACTATATGTCAATCAAAGTCCTCTCTAGCTTCTCCTAAAATGCTGCCCTTTCATCACTCATCACCCCAACTCTTCCTTAATCTTTCAATCTGCAGGTGAAGCTCCCAGGTGTTTCACTGTAGATCTATTATCTTATACCAAATATGTGAATCAACAGACAACATGTAGTATTTCATTAATAGCTTTTTACTTGGTATAAAATGGTACATCCTTTGCATAGCTTTCTGTACTTGCTTTATGAACTCAATAATAAATCCTGTAGGTCTTATCACATTAGTTCTGCTGCTGTCTTGTACCACATCATGGCTTGTCTAGTCTGTACAGCCCTTCCTCTGTTGATGAACACTCAAGGTGTTGTTGGTTACTTACTATGAAATATAATATGACAGTAAACCATGCAAGGCATTCCTCTTTATATGCATGTGGCCATTTTTTCTATATACAGAGAAGGAGGAATTAAAAGGAAGGTCTATGTGACCAGCAAGTAAAAAGTATCAGGGAAGTGGGAAGTCCATGGCTTATAGGAGGAAGAAATGAATCCATGTGCTGATTATTATGTGGATGGCTTTTGTTTTTATTGCTTTTCTTATTTGTGCATTGGAACTGTAGCTTCTCAGCACATATGATAAACTCTAAAATTACTGTCCTACATATAGAGCCTACAGAATGTGTTGCAGTTTCCACCAACCAGCCACTGAGATGATTCTAAAGAAGGTAAATGAGCTATGGAAGAAATAGGATATACAAGGAGTAAATGCAGTAGAATATCACTGTAGAAAGAAAAATAATAATAATATAGGGCAAGGAAAAAATATAGTGTTTTTATGATGACATACATTATATATAATTTGAGAGTGATTTTCATGAGACATAAGAACAGATATAGTCTCTACATTTTCTTAAATGTTAAAAAATTAAAAATTGATTAATGAAAAATTCATCAATGGAACAGAAAACAGACTTTTAAAAACGAAAGGAAAAACCAAGAGTATACCAAGCAACTCAATCCAGACTCTTCAATAATAAAAATATACATAAAAAGAGATTATCTGATTAAATCAAAACTGAAAATCCTGCTATGTACTGCTTGAGAAAAGCATAAAGTCAAACAACAAAGAAAGCAGAACATATAGAATGCAATTCTTCCTGGTGCCTCTTTGTGCAAGGACTGGAGCCACATCCCCTGTCAACATCCACTAAACCCACCACACCCAATAAAGAGATGTCCCATGAGCAGGCCCATTCTGGTGGTGGAGGAGGAGTGCAGAGAATGCAAGTTACTCAGCCACGTTATTAGCTCCTGGAGTTTCAATCTGTGACCACAGGGTGAAAGAAAGACTAAGGTTAAAAAAAAAAAGGAAAAAAAAAAGAGCATTCAGACAGAAAACAAATCTGGGAAAGAAAGGAAAAAAGGCAGGAACAAAATATCAAGAATAATTGAAGACAGCTACAGAAAAGAAAGAAATTAAAAATGAGAAAATTTCATACCTTGAGAGAGCAGAGGAGAAAGAAGCCTGTTATCCAAATAACAGCTTTCGATTTTTTATCATTGATCTCTCTACTTCTATTATTTTATAATTTGGACTGTTTAAAGAATTATTCATCAGTGTATTTCCTAATTCCTCTAGAAACACACTTAGGAGAAGACAGGGACATCTCATCACCAGAATTATGTTTGATCATTTTGTGCACCAGAAATCCATAGAAGGTTGGATCAGGAAGACTTTCACGGGTGCTTGGAGAGTTACTATGAACTAAATTGTGACCCACCCAAAATTTGTATGTTGAAGCCCTGACTCTAAGACCCTCAGAATGTGATGGTATTTGAAGACAGGGTCATTAAAGAAGTAATTAAGGTAAATGAAGCTGGGCTCCATTTCAAAATGACTGATGTTCTTAGCAGAAGAGGATATTTGGGCACAGACATGTGCATCTTCAGTGGAAGGCCACGTGATGACTCAGTGAGAAGCATCACCTCATACCAAGGCGAGAGGCCTCAGGAGAACAATCCTGCTGACACATTGACCTTGGTCTTCCAGTCTCCAGAACCGAGAGCAAGAAATCTCTCCTGCTTGAAACACAGAGTCTGTGGCTGTTTGTTATGGTAGCCCTAGAACAATAATCAAAGAGTAAATTTTCAATATCCTATTAATATGGAACAGATCACAAATACAGTTTGTAATCCAAAGCACATATGCAAACTATCTCAACATTTTAACATCCTACTTACATGTTCATGTTTTAGTGCACTCACTTTTTTCTTAAATTAAAGGGCTCACATACCTTTAATATTCCCATAAAAATTATATCTGGAGCCCAAATTATCCTAACAACTGTGGAAATGAGAGTATTCTACATGATTCTATAATGGGAGGTTTATGTCATTATGAATTTGTCCAAACCCAGATGATATAAGGTGACCCATAATTAACTATGGGCATTGGCATGGTGTGGGAGTGTAGTTCACTCCTGTATCAAGTGTACCATTCTAGGGGAGGCTGGGGCAAGACAGGGGCAGGGAAAATATGTGAGACAGCTCTGGAATTTGCTCTCAATTTTGCTGTGACCTAAAATACTAAAAAAATCAAGTTTTTTAAAAATGGGTGAAGATATGTAAATATATGATGGGTTGAAAAAATGTGGATGTGAAGATCAGAGACAAAAACATTAAAAATGGGCAGAGATCCAAATGGAAAAAGTGCAGAAAATATAAATGACTTAAAATGAAACTCCATCTGATTCATAATCAAATGAATTATGTGCACATAAAAATGAAAGTCTGACAAGAAAAGTCAAAAAGTGTGGTAATGCATAAGGTTTTTGGAAAATAGATATTCTGTCCAATCAACACATACACTCTCAACACACACACACACACACACACACACACACACACCACAAACCCTTACAGCACCAGCACCACCTTCTCCAGTGGTTTAAGGATAATTGGTGCTTCTGACTCCTAAACCTTCCACGAAGGCACAGCACACAAGCAATGTTCTTTGGCAGCCTTTCTCATAAGACACAGCTTCCGTATTCATTTGGCCTGTGACATAAGTTTCTCCCTATATTTCTGACCCTCTAAAATTCAGTCAACGTCACTGCCATCATCTCCTTTTCTATACCCTGAAGATTTATGCCCTTTGGAGACTATTCACTGCCTTTCTAATAGGTTTTCATGAAGATACAGAATAAAAATGTATGTATGTTTAACCTTCCACAAGCATTGCAAACTGATTCACATGATTCACAAGGGTCAGTTTGCCTTCTCAGAAAGCAAACTGAACTATGTAACTTGCCAGGACCATTCACCATTTAACCATGGGTCTATCTTCAATTATGCATTTGCTCCCTCCCTTTCCTTTGAATACCAGCCTACCAAGAAAAGACACCCTTATCTGCATGAGGAAATTCCCTTTCCTCTCACTGCATTGTTGCTGTGTGAGAGGTCTGTTCCTCTTCCTGTCTTCTCTTCCCTTCCTTTTCTATTAGCAATCTTGGAATTCTTGTTTAGGGGCTCTAGTTCTCCTATCACCTTAACTTCCACACTCTGTTAGGGAGACCTTATGCACATGTCACTTCCTCTGGCACATTTGTTGCAATAAAAATATAACAAGCCACAACAATGTCTACCAGGGTGTCCTGAAACAATGTTTGGGGTCTGGGCTTTGTCTGCAAGGATGAGCAAAGACACCACTCCATTGTTTGAGTAGTTTTACCTTGAAGTTACTTTGTTCCTGCTTGAGGAACTAATGCTGTCAGCTTTTGTTTTTACTTCCACTAGTGAAGAGCTGAGTTGGGGTTGTCCACTCCTTCTGTTGCTGCTCGGGATATTTGTATGATTTTTTCATCAAGAAGAGAAATAGAGCAGCACACACCATAGACTGTGCTGAAGCCAGAGTGAACCCCAGAGGCTGATGCTCAGCAGCCAGGCCCCTAGTTGCTGCTCAGAGTTTGTGCTCAGCTCCCCCTGCAGTTTCTGCCACTGTGTCACCCAGAGCACAGTAATACACAGCCGAGTCTGATGCTTGAATAGAAGCTTTCTCCAGGTGGAAGGACGTGGCTTCTTTATTGTATGTGGCTTCAAAACCTTTGTTGATGACCTTATCATTGGCCTTCACAGCTTTCAGGAGGAGCTGTGGACCTTCTCCAGGGTATTGAACATACCAGAAAAGAGTAGGGTACCTTGTGGCGGAGTAAGTGCAGTTTATAGTCAACAAAGCCCCTTCTGATATGGTCACTTGGCCTTCCATCTGGGTCACTGAGTCTCCGTGGGTTCTTCCTAGGAGAGAGAAGATCTGGATCATCTTGGTAATAAAACTCTTAGAAAAATTTATGGTTAAAAACTTTGCTGGCATCATAGAAGAAACAGTCCATTTTAAAAAGCATTTGACTCACCAAGTATTAAGAGCATCACCATTACTATGCCTGAAGAAGTATCCATCTTTAGAGAGTCAACTAAATAATGTTCTTGATTCTTAACATGAAGAATGTTGAAGTCATAGTGAAAAGATGAGCCTATTGTTGCAATTCACACAGGAAGTGAGCTAGTGTTAGAAAGCTGCACCCCCTGGTGGGCAGAGCCTAAACTGGAGAGAATGATTTCCTGGACTCCTTCCAGAAATCTGAACTATATCTTCATCCCTCATCATCTAAATGCACATCAATCTTCAGGTGGCTCCTGTAAATCTAAAGTACAGCTAACATAACCTATAAGATCTTCCTTATTCTTAGGACTCTATCTGACATCAAAATGCTTTAGTAGAGCTTCCCAGGGTGTCTCTGTAGTTTAGAAGATATTGATATGGTTTGAATTTAGGGTTGTTTGGCCACTGAGATGTATACACAGGCTTTTTTTATTTATTTTTTTTTTTTGGTACTACAATTTGAATGCGCGTATTTCACCACTGAGACACATCCCCAGCCCTATTTTGTATTTTATTTAGAGACAGGGTGTCACTGAGTTGTTTAGCACCTCACTTTTGCTGAGGCTGGCTTTGAACTCATGATTCTCTTGGCTCAGCCTCCTGAGATACTGGGTTTTCAGGTGTGCCACTGAACCTGGCCCTGGTTATCTTTATTTTTTATTTTTAAGATAGCATCTTGCTAAATTGCTGAGGCTGACTTTGAAATTTTACCACTGCTTCCAACTATAGTATCCAGTGTAGGTCTGGCCTCAAGGTCTTTTTATATGGAGGGAAGCTTGGGCCGGTGTTTCCTGGAGTTCTCTCTCCACAGATTCAGATAAAGGAGCTTCTGAGTCCAGAGTCAATCTGTAATAACATCACAGATACAGACTTAAGTAAGAATTTCAGGTCCACATATTGTTTGGAAGCCAGATTCAGAAAAACAAGCATTACATGTTTTCTCTCAAATGAGGAGAAAAATAAAGACCTGAGAGTAGAAGAGTGACTATTAGAGAAGATAAAGGGACTGTGAAGAGATGATGGTGCAGTGCCAGGGAGAGCAAAAGAATGGAGAGGGGACAGGATCAAAGTTCAATAAATTCATGTATGGGATTGTCACAGTAAAACTTGTTGCAAATTCTATTCTGATACATGACAAGAATGCAAAATAAGTTGGGATGATCCTGGGTTGGAAAAAAAAAACAGTAGAGAACAGAGTTTCAGTTGCACAGATGGGTGGTTGTACAACTGTGACTATACTTAATACCCCTGAAATGTGCACATAAAAATGATGGAGTGGTAAACTTTATGTTAAGCAGATTTTATCATAATTTAAAATGTTTTTTAAAAATTGTAGAAGATGCTTCTCTTTAATATTTCAACTCACACCTCTGCTTTCCAAATGAAATTTAAGAAAGTTACAATACAGGATCACTCAGAAACCATCCATTCAGCCTTCACCAACCCAAATATAGGGCATGAGAAAGTGGGGTTAGAGGTGGAAGGAGGAAATTGGGGAGAATAAAGACTTGGTATTGTGGTAAACTGATGGCGCACAGAAGGTCTGGCATGTGCAAAATGACCAACGTTTTGACATCAAATGCTTTTGGAGTAATGGTCATGAGAAAAACAAGTGCATAAAAAAGAGAGATTTCATGCTCTGCCCTTCACAACACCCCTCTAAGAGCCAGTAGTTATTGATTATTTTATGTTTAAGGTTGGTATAAGGCAGGTACACTTAGACTATACAAACTGAGTTTTTGTTTTGTTTTGTTTTGTTTTGTTTTTGTTTTTTTTGTGCTAGAGGTTATAAAAAGGCCATTAACTAAAATGAGTTCTCAGGTCAAAATCTCTCACACACTGGGTATTCAATGATCATTTTAAATAAATGGATACATGAGTGAATACAGTTTTTAAAAGTCAAACTGCATTATTCTGTAAACATTCTGCCTCTTGTTTTTGACGTTCTTAAAGATTTGCATCTCTGTTCAAGAATTAAAACTTTTTATTATGCTATTTTTTAAGTGTTGTATTAAGGTTAGGCTAGCTCCAAAAAAAAGATCTCCTTGCCTAGGTACTATATGTATATTGCAAATTAACCAAACCATGAAAGAAAGAAAACTCTTAGCTATATGACCACAGATATATTTTCAAATAGCCTTTTGTGTATATGGAATACTGGTAAAAAATGGACAGATGAAAAAAATTCAATTGAAAATGCATACACATAGTTGAAGAAAGAAATTCAATTGAAGATAAATATAAGAAATTTCAAAATAAAATTGAAAAACATGAATGACACTTTACAAGTTGAGAAAATTAGCTCTTTCCTGAATTAAAAGATAATAAATAAGTTGCTATTTCATGTGCAAATATATTCAATGAATATAAATCCAACTTTTCAGTTCTCAAACATTCTTTTTTTTAGTTTTGTATATTTTGTTTTAATGGAGAGTCATTTGAAAAGAAAAAATTGGGGCAGAATTTTTTTTAACATTTATATTGAAAAATAATTGTGCAAGAATCATCAAAAACTTCTTCAAAAAATTACTACTGAGAAGTGATTTACCCAAAAAGGTAACAAAATTTACTATAAAAAAATCTAAGCCTGGCGTAGTGGTACATGCCTGTAATCCTAGAGACTCAGGAGGCTGAGGCAGAAGGATGGCAAGTTCAAAGCCAGCCTCAGCAACTTTGAAGTGCTAAGCAACTCAGTGAGACACTATCTCTAAATAAAACACAAAATAGGGCTGGGGATGTGGCTCAGTGGTTGAATGCCCCAGAGTTCAATCCCAAGTACCAAAAAAAAAAAAAAAAATTCTTTCTGAGATTGATACTGAATAAAACAATGGAACTGAAAAAGCAGGCAGGAATATATTATAATGAAAGTGGAATTAAATATTTTAAAAGATGGTGACTATTTTAGGAGAAAATTATCCTTTATCTACCAATAAATGGGTTTCCATCTTTGTGGTATAGATTCCCCACATATCCCTAGAAAAACCACTAGTTACTGGTCTTTTTATGGATGTGAAGGTGAGAAAGAGTAAACTTTCAATATGTTGTTTATTCTAAGGTAGAAATCCATCTCATTATCAAGAGATCTGAGCTGTGTACTAGTCACTGCAGTTCTTTTCATCTGCCTGTGGATATAATAATATCCCCCCTCACTTCCAGTGCATGTTCAATTGCCTATCTTGGCCTAAAGAGAAGAAAAAAAAATAAACTCTCTTCACCAAAATATTTAGAATGAAAACTTTGGACATTGAGTCCAATTGTAAAGGTCGCCATCTCTTCTCAATTTCATTTTCCCAGCTAAGATGTTCATAAAGTCCAGATTAGACACCGAAGTTTAGTCACTAAGTTATTAAACCTTTGAATTAAAGGTTTTAAACCTTTTGTTTCAACTGGGAACCTTGATGGGCCACAGAAATATGCCCAGTTCTGCAGGAAAGGTGTCCTGGATGACCCCAGAAACCACCCTACAAGAGCTGATCATGGCATCAAAAATTGTGAAAAACCTTTCATTTCCTGTGAACACTAAAGATAAGGACATGCCATAGAGACATCACTCAACAACATGGCAAAGAACACAGACCCTTTGCCTGTCGTCACCCATTTCTTGCTCAATTAGTCAAAGCTTATCCTCTGGATGGGTTGAAGCATCTTCAAACCTCACACTAAACTCTCCATTACATCTGATGCTATCACATACAATACAATTGTTTTGTTCCCTAAAAACACCCAACATTTTTCTACGAGAAGGGTTACTAATTATGAGATACTATTGATTTCTTCTCATAGGATTCAACTAAATAGACTTCTCACTCAAGAAAATTTTGTAATTTCCTTTTTGTCATTCAAGAATTATCCATAACCAGAATGGATACCTGATACTGTCATGCAAATTTTTAAATGTAATTTGTTTTTTTAGTAAGTCTTATGTTAAAAATTGAAAAATGTAATATAGTCAGGACATTTAACTACTACTCCAGACTACAGTGTGAAATTCCATCCATGTGGAAAGGTAAAATTAGTTAATGTTGATGAACTTGTGTCTTCTTCTTTAAAAGGTCAAATTACAAAAAAAACTATATACATATATAATGATGTTAATATGTTTCAATGAAATTCAAAACATCCAAATGCTACAGGGACAATGAAGATTCTTAATCTCTTTAACCTTTTCTTAACCTTATGTATCTCATATGTCCCTACTGAAAATAGACACCAAATACTTGATATACTTGATTCTTTGTCATGAAGACAAAAGCCCACACTAAAAGAGACACTGTAGAAACTGGGGAAGGGTTGATGCTTGAGCAGATGATCATGCTAAATTAAACACAACTTTCTGACAAAAGTTCCACTGAAAACTCCACAAGTCCTTTTTGGATGCAAAAACTTGATTCCCAATTGTGCAAAGAAATACTACAAGTGACAGATACTACAAGTTTGGTCAATGAGGACCAAAGCCAGAAAAGTCTCCTGGAGGAGTCAAATGATCTCCAGTGAACACTTGCTAAGGTCCCCAGAGACAACCCATCACAGCAGGGACATATTGGCTGCAAAAATAAATGAAGCCTTACAGGAAAACTTTTCTAGCATAGCAGGGAGTGCCTTTCCTGTGATCAACAAAAGCCCATAAAAAGTGTAAAGATGCGGTCTCAACAGGAATACTGTCCATTTAAATATCTTCCAAAGGATTTTATAAATTGCATATAAAAAAAAAACAATGGATGTGGTGTCTGCTCTTCTGATTAGGCTCTGCCGAATACATTTATTATTTTCTCAACAACTGTCTCAACAACTGTCACTGCGTGACATATATCATAATAGCACTTATTTTTATTGATGACATGGATTGAAGCACTCTCCTATCAAACAGCCACTCACAATGACTAAAAATCAATGTGACTTTGTTTTTCCTTCTTGTTTCACTTCAGTTATCCACATAGAAGGAGCATATTTTTCTGAAACAGATGTGTAAGGTATTTCCCTTACTGAGAAATTTCTCTTTTCTTATCACCTCCCTATCTTCTGAAAATATGGAACCCAAAAATGAGACATTAAAACTAAAAATAATTGTTGTAGCAGACTCTTTTTAACCCACCCAGCATTGGTGATGCATTTTTCCTTTAGTTTTCATAGGTCTGCATTGTTCTTCCTCACAAAGTTGCATGTCATTCTGACTGTGAACTGGTCACCAGCAGGTACATGTAATTCCCAAATTATACATATCCCATTCTTGTACAAAATGAGCTACATAAATGAACTCATGGTACTCCATTCTTTCATCAACATGCCAAACTGGTTGTCTTACCTTCCTTTCATATTAATCAGCCTTTAAATGACCTAAACCAGAAGACCTGGTATTCGTAAAGCAATACCAGAGAAATACTGCCTCTGAATGTTATAGAACTGATTTTATTGGAGTCTATTGACTACCAGTTCAGCAGATAAAGTACAAGGAATTCGGGCTGGGATGTGGCTCAAGTGGTAGCACGCTCGCCTGGCATCTGTGCAGCCCAGGTTCGATCCTCAGCACCACATACAATCAAAGATGTTGTGTCAGGGGGAGAAATGAATTACAGTAGATGGGGTAAAGAGAGAAGATGGGAGGGGATGGGATGGGGGGTAGTAGAGGATAGGAAAGGCAGCAGAATACAACAGACACTAGTATAGCAATATGTAAAACAGTGGATGTGTAACCAATGTGATGCTGCAATCTGTATCCGGGGTAAAAATGGGAGTTCATAACCCACTTGAATCAAAGTGTGAAATATGATTTTTCAAGAACTATGTAAAGTTTTGAACAACCAACAATAAAAATTAAAGAAAGAAAAAAAAAAACAAAGATGTTGTGTCTGCCGAAAACTAAAAAATAAATATTAAAATTCTCTCTCTCTCTTTAAAAAAAAGTACAAGGAATTCATCTTTGGTTGCATTTTACCAACTATTAGGACATCCATAGTAAAATTACAGGATCTTTGTTATTCACATTAACTATCTTAACTGTTTCTCTTGAGAGTCTCCAGGAGCTCATTGTCCACAGAAGATGAGCACTGACCAAGGATCAATAAAGCAAACGTGTCCTTGCATAAAATACACCAGAGTGACTCTGACTATTGGAGGTCATATTCTCTTTCACAGTCTTTTGTTTTTATCATTTTAGCAGAACTTTCTCACTAACAATAGAGTATAAGTTAAAATATTTATAAAATTGATAAAATATTTCTAATTTATCCTACTTTTTTCTTCTATTAGTGTAATAAACGAGCTTAGGAGTAGGCTTAACTTGAGGCAATAACCATACTAATGCTATTATTCAGCTCTTCAAATCCATCACTCATGCAACAAGCATAAAGAATTGTTGGATGTGTCATTCAATGTCACAAATATCCATATAATATCATGGATATTATAATATTATAATGATACAAATAGCTATGTAATATCAATTTTCCTCATTGACAAAATATCCTCAGTTAGGATAGGTAAAATGAATTTTGATAAGCAAAATTTGATTTTAATTGGTAGAAAAATATCCACTGAGAAAAACTTAAGATAGAGTTGGTACAGTTAAGTTTACATTTGCAGCATGACAACCTGATTATAGGATTTGGTATTACCTTCAAAAGAACCTCTCCATTGCCAAAATGTTGTACAGAAATCAAATCCTGAACTAGAAATCAAATCTTCAAGGAAATCTAAACATTTAAAATGATGGATGTTTTAACAATAATGACATCAAATTTTAAAACATTCAGTCCACTTGAAGGTGGGAGCAGATGGAGGTCACATGTGCCCAATGGCATGTGATTTCTCTAGGCAAGTTATGACTTCTCAAATGCTTATATGTTGTGTGTTTTCCTTCACATGATATTTCCAAAGAGATAAATATAGGGAAAAAAAGACTAAAGTTTAAAAGGACTTAGAAATGGCCAGGTGCAATTCCAATATGAGCACAGGAGAGTTTTTGATGTGATGAAATGTTCTGTATCATGATTATGTAATCATTACATAAACCTGTATAATGTACTAGAATTCAAAAATCAAAGATAGATCTGTACAACCAAAAGTATTAATTTTTATATAAAATTTAAAAAGCTAAGAAAATTTAAAAAACAATGCATGTGGTGTCTGCTCTTCTGATTAGACTCTGCCTAATACATTTATTATTTTCTCAACAAAGAAGAAAAGCCCCAGTCATACCAACTGTGGTGGGGAGGAGCAGTGTGAAATAACAGCAACCAAAAAAACTCAGGTCCTTCCCCCTGGATCCTTTACTCTTCCCATGTCAGGATCGTTAAGTTAAAGATCCTGACATGGGAAGAGTATCTTGCATTACATGAACCTTAAACTTTCAAGTGCACATCTCATGTGCACTTGAAAGAAGGACAACAGGAGAGAGATGCCAGGGAGACTATGGAGGCAAAGACTTGAGGAGGCAGCCAGTTGCTCAGAAATGCTGGCAGCCATCAGAGTTGGGAGTGGCCAGGGGCAGATTCTCTCTATAGTCTCTAGGTGGGTGCAGCCCTGCTGATACCTTGATTCCAGCCCAGAGAAACTGATTTCAACTTCAGGACTCCAGACTATGGGAGAAAAAATAATTTTCATTGTTTTATGCAGTCAGGTTTGTTACTGAGGCAAAACGAAAAACCTATACCTTTTTGTGAGTACCAAAATTTGGAGTGAGGGCCAAAGGCTTAAATGTGTCTGGATGGAGATAACTGGGTTATGACCCTGCATACTTTGGCTGGAGAGTTTTCTTCCTTTTTGAAAAAAAATGGTCTCCATACTAAGAAATAGCACTGGAGCCTATGATAATTACACCTATCCCTTATAACCATGAAACTAGCCTATAAAATATAAGCCATTCTTCTCTGTCACTGCAATACCACACTTGGGGGAAATGGACCAAGCAAGGACCAATCCTTGCTTCTCCAGGACAGAAGCTAGTGGTACATTGAGGAGAATAAGAAAAGCCAGTTGAATATTGAGCAATATTGACTATTCCTGTTCAGATGTTTTAAACATAATTTACTCTAATAATCAGCCAATTAGCTGATAACTAACATAATAATTCAGACAAGAGGAATAATTCTCACCACACCAACCACCATTCACAGACACCTTAGGAAGAATATGAGAGTTCTTCAAATAAGATACCCCTGGGCCAGAGGAGGGAAAATCAGGTGAGTGATTGTTTGCACAACTTCTTCATTTTCATTAATTTATCTACAACATTAAAAGATATGTTTTTAAGAAGAAAATGGTGATAGTAATGTTGATTCTGTTGAACCATAAAGATTTGGCAGAGAGATTTGCATAAGCTATCTTTAAATTACCTTACAGTCCAAATTCCTTCTGTAATCCACCAATGAGAGTTAAGTGAAGGATTAAGACATATGACAATTTCCTCAATACACCAGAAAGATAAGGTAGTAATCAAAACTAAGTACCTTAGAATAAATTTAGCTTAACACAATGGAGTTTCATTAAGAAGGAAAAATGGAAATCAGTGTTATTTTTGAAGAAATTTTGTTGTGTATATTTGAGGTTTATAACAGGATGTTAGAAGATACACATAGACAGTAAACTAATTATATATTGAAACAAATTAACATATCTATCATCTTATGTAAATTACTTTTTTGGACTTTTGATAAAAACAATAGCTTAAAATTGCCTGTTTACAATTTTGACACTATACTTTTATTAACCATAGTCCTTATATTATATATGCAATCTCTAGACATTTTTGTTGTTTTTGTTGATGCTACATATCTACTTCTTTGTATCCATTCACCAATTAGCAACAGATTGGGTAGTGAATAACCACTTTATACTTTTGTATTTTACATGTTTTCTGCATTTGGTATCTAATATTTATAATCAGAAAAAATAACAAATGAAATTTTCTGAAGAGTAAAAAGCCCCTGCTTGAAATTGATACTTGAGTTGTTTGAAAGGAGAAATCTGAAAAACAATTGTAAACTCCTCTGTACAGTCTGAGGATTTCAAGAGAAAGCATTACTAACCGATTCCCATCAAGAGTCCAGTAAGTGCAGCATTAGATTTCTGAACATGTGAAGATTCCCAAATTCTGGGGTTCCCAGAGAGGGCATGAAGCTTCATCCCACCTCCCACCACCACCCTATGTGCCTTTTCATCTGGCCATTCAATTTCTCTATGTATATGTATATCAAAACATCACATTCTACATCATTAACTATTTATAATAAAAAATAAGGTTTGAGCGCTAGGGATGTAGCTCAATGGCAGAGGGCTTGCCTAGTGTGTGCAAGGTCCCAGGTTTGATCCCCAGCACCACAAAAATAAAAAAGAAAGAAAGAAAAGTCAAAAATCATCTATTAAGCCACAATCAGCTACCCAAATGTTCTGACCCATTTCATGTCATCTTGAACTTAAACTTCTTATTACATGCTTTTAATGTTGAAGTGCTAGATTCCACTTGCTAACAATTTGGCAAATGTTATCCTGAAAAGTCTGTGACAAAAGAAGAAGGTGGGGCTTAGCCCAGTGGCAGGTTTGAGTACAGGCTGCAGGTGTCTGGGAAGCATCGTGTACTGGCTGCACAGAAGTAGACAGCTGAGTCTCCAGGCTGGGTGGCTGTGATGTTCAGGGAGAAGTGTTTGGCTTTCTTATCCAACACAACAATGAATCTTTGGATTTGATTTATGTCCTTATTTGAACGAATGTCTATAATACGCTGGGGACCTTTTCCAGCTTCTTGCTTATACCAAGGGAAGTACTCTGAACCACTATCTGAATAAGTACAGTTGATAACAGCGCTGTCTCCCTCCTGGACATTCAGGGTAGAAGGACGCTGCTCCACCTTCTCTCCTCTGCTTACCCCTGGGAAAGAAGAAGAAAAAAAGATGGTGTTAGCATGTGATTACTCTTCACAATTTTCAGTTTTCTACAGCAACTAGAGGAGAATTGAACATAACAGGGCTTCTCCTTGGACATTTAAAGAACATTCCCTAATATACACAGACTTTTCCCTGAGCATTTCTTCAACCACCTTGCATTATCCACTATGTATATTGAATATCAAAACATCATATGCTATATCTTAACTATCAGTAAAAAATAAAATAGTGGGGAAATCTATTAAGCAACAATCAACCACCAAAATGTTCTCATCCATTCTAATTTAGTCTACTCCATGGACATTTAAAGAACATCCACTAATTAATTCTGTCTCTATAAAACCCTCAACTTACAGTACAGCTGCAGCCACAAGAATATGAGTAATGGATGAATCCATTTCTTCATTGTTCTTCCCATTAGAATCAATAATATACTTGAGATCTCCAGCCAGAAGACCCACTTCTACAATCAGGTTGCCCCTTTTTTCCTCTAACAATTATTCTCCTCTTCTCCACCCTGCCAATAAGAAAAAGGATCTGCTTCTGCTCTAAGCCTCTTCATTCAGAATGCACTGCAAGGTATGCTCCAACTATTTTGCATCAGCTGGGGTAGACTGCCACCTTGTGTTCACATCTCTAACTACTGAACTCTGGTTAAATGGTCTCTTTCCCATGAGGGACTCAGAAACATAAAAGCAGCAACAGGTCTAATAAAATAGGTTTCAGATCAGAGATTAAATGCACAGTGAGTATGTAGAGATCAAGGCTGACGTGTGTGCACACTACTGAGTCATTATTAGTAAATCGGAAAGAGGTAGATGCTGTTGGTGATTTTTCAAAAATAAATTGAGGTAACATGTTTGGATTCAAGGTAGCATCATGCTTCACTCTCATAAACAAATATTTAAAAATATCTCCATTTTCAGACTAATCTACCTTCAAGATTAGCCTGTCACAGAGGAAAAACTCTTCCTAAAAGGAACATGTAAGTCAAAGATCATAGTAAGTGGGTTGGGATATAGCTCAGTTGGTAGAGTGCTTGCCTTGCATGCACAAGGCCGTGGGTTCTATCTTCAGTGTGCACACACACACACACACACAAATAAGATTATAGTAAGAGAGAACCACTGGATATTTAGAACGCATGTGTTATCTCAAACTCTGTTCCTCCTAGCCTGGCCTTGCCCATAACTTGCCAATACCAGATAGTGGACTGTACCAATAATTCAACTATGGTTTCTTCCTTCACCAAGGATAGTTCTGATTTTAAAAAAAAAGGTAAAGATAGAATCTCAATGATTAGAGAACAGGGGAATAATTTCTTGAGTTATTAGTGCTCCAAGTTTAGAAAGAATTTTGACAGAGTGGGTTAATTTATAATGACAAATTTGACATGAATTAAGAACTCTTTTCCTATTGCTGTGTTGCTTGTATTCTGCAAAGTCTTGAAAGAAAGAGTTGAGATTCTCAAAAATCTACAGGCTACAGATTCAAAATTTTAAATATATGTGTTTTTATTTTCTGTGGTTCTCCAAAATATGAGTCAATCCTTGAGGCATGAATTCTTATATTGACCACTGAGCTTTCTCTCAAGTTCTGCTACAATGGTCTTTCCCACAAAACATCCAGTCTTTCAGTCCTCTAAAGTTCAAGGATTCTCTCCCTCTGCCCAAAATCCTTTTCACCTACTTTAATTTATTGATATTTTCTGATTGCTTCTGTAAGAATAAATCGAGTGAAGCCTAAATATTGCCTATGCCTGCTATAGGGATTGTATAAATAAGGAAACTGACCCAAAAGACTAACCATGAAAAGTGCATTCTGCCAAACAAATGCAACCTCATTTCCAGAAGTGATGGCACCTTCCCTGTGATGGGTACATACTAGTACCCAGAAGTATACAGAATAAATCTAATCCCTCAGTCACATCATATACATGTAAATATTTGAGGACAGCTGTAAGTATATCCCTCAACTCTATATAAGAATTTCATGTTTATACGTATAAAATATATGTTTTCACATATATGAAATTTTTCCATTCTAAGGTTCTTCTTTTCTGTCTTTCAATTTCCACATTCTCAACTTCTTCACTGGGTGAACTTCTTTCTCTAATACAGATACTTTAGGTACGGTTTGCCCTTCTGAGTTGTGGCATTCAAAAAAAAAAGATTTTTCAAACACCTGCACAGACACCAAATTGTGCGAGGAAATTGTTCCCCTTAGTATCTCAATTTCACTGATCATTTTTACTGACAATGGTGGAGTGGTGCTGGTGATGTTGGTACCCCTCCCTTCAGGAATGGCCACCTGGGATAACTACTGTACATTGCCAGTTCAAGGAAAGGCCTTAGAGATGATCTGAGTGTTGAGGATGGCCTGTTACTTGTCTCACTCCAACAGCAGCCAGTGAATGGTGAAATGATTTGTTGGCAGAATAACTGTGGCTTAACCTGAGACTATTTTCCTACACAAAGTACCAAACATTTTCACAAAGTACAGCTCTCTATTCTGGTTGTCAAACTGATTAGACCAAGGTTTTCCTAGACACACTGCAGAGCTCCAAGTAACTGAATTTCCGAGGCAGTTTCTCTCTGTTCAGCAACATGGTCCTACAGGAATGAGGCTGCAGACAGAATGTACAAAGGAGCAAATTAGGAAATACAGTTTCCTTATATTCCTATTCATATGCTAGATGATCATATCATATTGTCACATTGCATATAGTTTCTTACTTTGTAACTTATGATTGGACTAAAGGACTTCTAAGAATTCTTCTAGCTGTGAAATTCCTTTGCACAATATGGTATTGAAAATGTTTCTGAAGGACTGGTCATGTGAAACATGGAATTCTACGAGAGTGGAGATAAATTTTCCTGCACTATGGAACTCCAAGTTTATTTTCATGTTCACATAAGACTTTCTGTGTCTGAGGTTACCCTAACCAGTCCTTGGGCTTCTTCCAAAGCAGAGATGAATTCCTCTCTGGGTTTTCATTCTTCCTATAACATAACTGCTGGCTGATGGATGAAGGAGAGACTACATCCACGGTAAAATGGAATAAGATGGAATCCTGAGTACAAAAATCATCACAGGCAGTGATATGGGGGTGATTCCATCAATGACCCATGGATAAACAGGCTGCTCTTTTGTGATCTATTTCTTATATTTATATCGGCAGTGTATCATATCACTCTTGAAGGAAACACACATAAACACTTGAGCAAATTGGGGAACCAGGAAGAGATGAGTGAGTAACTAACACGCAAAGCAAAAGACACTTTCTCAAACACCCTGACTGCTTTCTGGCTTCAACCACCCTCCTTTCAAGTGGTGGTTCAGGGTTCAAGATTCCCAACCAGAGCTGTCTATAACATTCGTGGGACACAAAATGAACATTTGGGATATCTTTTTCAAATCAAGAAAAAGTGTCATTAAGTGATATAATGCAGAGCTTTCCTTATAAAATATGATATTATAAAAGAAAATAGAATTTACAGTGATACAGAAGTAACAACATAAGCTTAATAAAATAGTGTCATAAGTTTATATAAAAATAACTAAATTACTTGGGAATATGACATCTTGCTTAGTCATTCGATTTTTCTGGCTTGCACTTAGTTAATTTAACTTACTAGATTTTCAAAATTTAATCTTTTAGCAACTTCATTATCAAGCACTATAATTTCAAGTAATGTCAGGTGCTCCTGGTAAATGCAAGATTGTAAACTGAATTTCTGATAATTTCCCAATTTGGAGAAGTGATGCAATAGAAATACAGGGGCTTTTAGAGGTATTTTATATGCTATAACATTGTTAGCAAAAATATCTGATAAATTAGATTGAAATATAAATTTTAGTAAATCTATGGATGATGTTTCTTGTGGAATACATTTTGTTGATTTAACTTCTCATACAAGTCAGTTTCATATGAGTCTGAATTTAATTTTAAATGTAAATTTATACATCAGCATTTTAATGTTTCTTCTGATATTTTCTGTAATTTGTGGAGGTCTGATGAATGGAATGTGGCTTCATGATTTGTATATAATTCAGAATGCTTAAGCATTCTGTCACTGAATGTTAATAATTGATTCATTTGAAAATAGTGCTCTTCTCCATCAGGCTAGTATCTTCACATTTAATTCCTATTTCTGAGTCCTAAATATTCGTTCTGCAAATGAATAGTTAGAAAGCTTCTGAACTTTTTGAGGGGTGGTTAGTACCAGAGATTAAACTCAG